CAAAAAAAAAAAAAAAAAAAAAAAGAGTGGATTGCTCTATGACCAGCGAGGTGCAGGGTATAGAGTGAATATGGTCACAGCTACCACTAGGATAGGTAACCTGGAGTCCACCTGGGGTGTTGAGCCAAGGACAAATAGTGTCCCACATTGGAGCCAGGATAGGTGCAACTCTTTTTGCATACAGAAAGTTGAGACGTCCCTCCCAGGGTCCCGGACACCAGGGAGGCACAGTTCCATATCCAGGGCTTGGATCAGAAAGGAGCCGAGAACTGTGGCAGTGTATGACTGCCTTCCTTAACACACGACCCAGACAAGAGCATGTGGTGTGGGGGGAAAGGATGAAGAACTAGCCCACGAAGTTTGGATACTTTAAAAATGCACTTTCTTCTGTGACTTCTAATAGTTTAATGTCTGTTACATATAGTTTAATGGGCAAGACATGAACAATCACGTCACTAAATAAGAAATGCAAACAACCAATTCAGAAGAATGTTCAATCTCACTTGTAATCAAAGAAATGAGAACTCTTCCCTGGCTGTCAGATCAGTAAAGTTAGAAACCAAGCACACACCTTGATGCCACCAAGGCCATCATGCTGCAGCTAGAAGTGAAAATTTTTTTTGTTTTTTTGTTTTTTAACCTGCTGAGAAGTAATTTGGCAACAAGGAGCAAGCATTCTAAGGCTGTTCAACGTTCTGACAGTAGAATCCTATCTCTAGGAATCTATCCCTGAATGCAGAGTGAAGCTCTTGCAGAAACAGGCCTGTCTTGAGGTTAGCCATCCTGGCCCTGAGGTGGAAACCGTGTGAGCGGACCAGGTACTCAGAGTAAGGACACCCCAGCCCCGGCGGCCTCTGGAAGAGCCTCTGTGACCTCCCACCTCATTCACATCCCAACCTATGGCCATGAGGCCCTCATGGTCTGGTGGCTGGGTCTCCAGTCTCCCCTCCCCAGGACCCATGAGGCTTGCCCCTGGCCTTCATCAGCCTCCACTCACCCAGCCTTTTCTCACAGACACCCTCCTTACTGCCCAAGTGAGTTCTGCTTCAGTTTTCTCCACCTGACACAAATACGTGTATGTAGTCTCTCTTCCCCTTCTAGGGTGTGAGGTTTGAGGGGAAGAGGACTTTCTGTTTTGGATCACTGCTTAAAGCCCAGAGTAGTGCCCAGTACTGAGAATTCCTCCATCAGCATTTGTTGAATGAATGAATGAACAAGCACTGACAGACACTAGCCACAAGCAACAGAACAAGTAGAAGTAGCGCAGATCTCTGGAAGTTGTTGCCCCTGAGCACACACAACGCTGAGCCTCTTCCAGGGCAGAGCCCAGGTCTGGACTGGAGAGAAGCTACGATTAACGTAGTTGCCAACAGTGATATCATGGGCGTGTGATGACTAGAAAGATCTCTGTAACACGGAAAGGGGGAAACACAGGAACGAAATACCACCAACAGTGCTTCAAAGGGAGGTTTTTTTTTTTTGAGCCAGGGTCTCGCTCTGTCACCTCACAGTTCACCACAGCCTCAACCTTGTGGACTCTGGTGATCCTCCCACGTCAGCCTGCCAAGTAGCTGGTACTACAGGTGCATGCCACCACACCCGGATGATTTTTTTTTTCTTTTTTGGTATTTTGTACAGACGAGGTCTCACTATGTTGCCCAAGCTGGTCTTAAATTCTTGGGCTCAAGCAATCCTCGTGCCTTGGCCTCCCAAAGTGCTGGGATTCCAGCCACCGCACCCCGCCTACAAGGGGAGATTTTTGTAAGCCTACAGAAAGCTCTGTGGATACCCCACTGCTTAGCCTTCCCTCTCTGCCCCTCTCTGCAAAAGCCAAATGCCTTGCCTGCTCAGTGCCCGCAGATCCACCTCCTGGGAGCACTGCTAGCTCTCAGGGAGATGTGGCTTCTTTTGGGGTTATTGCCTCCCGAGTCCTTTCCTCCTCCTCCAGGATGCTCCAGGGTTTTTGCTAGGTGAATTCTCATTCATGCCAAGCAGGTGGTTTGACTCCAGAAATCATGGCCAGAGGGAGCAGTGTGTTTGACTGGTTCTCGTACCACCCAGCCCCCACCCAACTCCAACCCCAACCTCAGAGCGGGACCCCCCCCCAGAGAACTCCCTACTCCTTCCCCAGAAGGACAGGTCTTCACCCCAGGCCTCTCCATGTAAGTGGCAGGGATGCCCCAGCCACAGGCAGCCTTATGCCAGGGACTGCTTGGAACCTGGGCCCAAAGAGGGGTGGGTCCCACGGCCACAACTGGGTTCCATGGAAAACACGGTGACAAATTAACTGTCCAGGTGTGGGAAGGTGTGGTGGCATGTGCCTGCTGCTCCTGGTCTACAGATGCCCACAAGGCCACCACACCCTCTGAAGACTCAAAGCTTGTTTCTCCTTCTCCCCTTTCCAGGGACGACCCCATCTTTCCATTATTCAGAGACCAGAATGAACGGTACTGCAGAAGAAATTCCATGTGATGGTAGCTGGAACCCCAGCACCTCCTGGACCAACACCTGGGCTACAGCTCCCACTGCCCCCTCCCATCCAGAGGGCTGACTCTGAGTCACTGAGACCACCCCAAGGCTCACAGCACCCAAACCCTCAAGCACCCAAACCTACCCAAAGACCTTTCTTGGATAAGATGGGCATGGTGGCTCACGCCTATAATCCCAGCACTCTGGAAGGCCGAGGCAGGAGGATTACTAGAGCCTAGGAGATCGAGACCAGCCTGGGCTACATAGGAAGTCCCCCTCTCTACAAAAAAATTAAAAAATTAACTAGGCATGGTGGGCATATGCCTATAGTCCCAGCTATTCGGGAGACTGAGGAGGGAGGATTGCTTGAACCCAAGAGTTTGAGGCTGCAGTGAGCTAGGCAAGAGAGACCCTGTCTTTCCTGGTTAAATCTCAACCACTCAACCACGCTAGGTATCAACTCCATGAGATCAAGGCATTCTAGATCCAAATACCGCAGGGGAAATCGAAAGGATTCTCTGAACCCACCCTGATGTGCGATCCTTGCCTCCAGCCTCCACTGAACACCTTCAAGCACAGGGGGTGAACTCACTGCCTTCTGGGAGCAACAGCTCCATCCTCCAAGGCCCTGAAAGTTATCTAGAACAGGTCTGCCCATGGGTCTCCCTTCTGGGCCTGGGCCTGCCCTTCAGGGTTGACCAGGTGTAGACCTTGCACCACTTGATAACCCTTCCAAGCCCTGAGGGCTGGAGGGAGGAGCACCCCTGCCGGACCTGGTCCCCTCAACCACAGCCTTCAGCAGCCCAGGCAGCCCACCTCCAGGAGCCCACAGCAGGTGGTCCGTCCCACTGCCTTTGTTTAAAAATAATCTCCAGCAGTATACTTCATTTCATTAGAAAAGCAAATCCTGCCTGTAGCCGCCTCTCATTTCTTGGCTCAGCAGAGCAGCCACCCCAGCACAGTCTCAGTGCTCAGCTTGATATGGGGGTAGATTATTTCAAACCAGGGAGCCTCAGCTAAAAATGCTGGCTCCCCAGAGCAGGGAGAAAGTCAAGAACATCTCATTTTAAAGGAGGCTTTTCAAAAGGTTTTCTACAGGGTCTTGTCATGTTGTCCCAGCTGGTCTCAAACGCCTGACCTCAAGTGATCCTCCCGCCTCTGCCTCCCAAAATGCTGGGATTACAGATGTGAGCCACCACACAAGGCCACCCCCTATGAATTTTCCAACAGCCAGACCCTTGCCCTCTCCAAGAAAAAGTCACCCTCTGGAGGCATTTTCCTCGTGTTTTGAAGATCTGAGTTTTAGTTCTGACTTTATCACTTAATGAGGACAGAATCTTGAGCAAGTATCATAATCTCTTTAGGCAACTGTTTTCTTATTGTGAAATGAGGATGACAACTAGGCGCCACACATCTCCTGCTGTGAGGATTCAGTGAGTTCCCCAGTGGGAAGGGCTCTGGTGCGTTGCCGACCACAGGTGAGCGCTCCATTCACATAGCCATGGTTGTATCTTGGACAAATGAATAAATGAGTCCAAGTCCTGGGCGAATGAACGAGGCTGTGTCTGGTCCATCTTTAGGTCTCTGGCATCACACAGCAGGCGCCTGGCAAACGCGTGCTGAGTCTGTGGGTCACAGGATGGAAGGGCCTGGTGAGAGGGCTCTGGCCACCTGGATCCACCTCAGAGCCTTCAGAGCCAGCATCTCGCACAAGACACCGCGCTGCCTTCTCATCACTGAGAACATGCTGCTTACGGTTTAAACACTTTAAAGATAGCTTTTCTAAGTGCAGGGAAAAGAGCCAAGAAGCCGCACCGGGGGAAATACTATTTCAAGGGTTCAAGAAGCTTCTGGACATCAGGCCTGGGGAGACTTCACCCAGTCTGTGTCTACACACCCTCCCGGGCCCACAGAATTCTCCACTCAAGGCAGCAGAGCACGGTGAGGAGCAGGAGCCCCAGGAGCAAGGATTTGGCTGAGGGGTGCGAGCAGGGGAAGCGGGACAGTGGGCACGGGAAAAGGGGTGCAGGGACAGGTAGGGGGCAGGGGCAACGGAAGACAGTGGGAGGAGACATAGGAGGGGGCCGGGGCACGGGAAGGGAGTTGGGAGCATGGAGGAGGTAAGGGGTGAGGGCACAGGAGGAGGGTGGGGCATGGGAAGGGGCTGTAAGCCCTTTCTCTGGGGTGGAGCTGAGACTGGGAAGAAAGTGCTGCTAGCACAGGAAGAATCCACACACCCAGATGGCAGTGTGGACAGCCCCTCTAAGTGCCCCCCAAAGGATGTGTGGGCCCAGAGTCAGTGCCAAGAGGCCAAGAGAACCAGAGGGCACAGAGCAGGAGCCCTCACCCACCTTCGGCTCCAATGGACACCAGCTTGACGCCCTTGCTGGCGATGAAGTCCAGGGCCTTGTTGACATTGGAGATCTTGTGCACCCGCATCTTGCCCCTCTCGGGCTTGGCCAAGCGCTCACCTGTCAGGGAGAGGAAGAGAAGGGAGGTGAGAGGCCAGGACAGGAGAGGTGCTCGCATGACCCCCACTTAGGCACGGCTAGACCAGGTGCGCTCATGTGTGTTCATGGGAGTGCATGTGTTCATGTGCGCACGTATGTGTGTACACGTGTTCGTGTGTGCATTGTGCATGCATGTGTGCAGGCATGCATGTATTGTGTGTGTGTGTGTGTGCCCACACCCCTTGGGTGCTGGACAAGGCCACCCTGCAGAGAATGAGGGACAGTCTACTTCTTTCTTCCTCTTCCTTCTTCTACTTCTCGGATCTAAACCTGCTGGCATCCACTGGACACCAAAGTACTGAGCCAGCCCCTGCCACAGGCCAGGGATTTGACTGGGGGCTAGGACTATGGGCAAACAATACTTTCTTGCCTTTTTGCAATTACATCCAGTAGGAGAGATAGACCTTAAATAGGAAAACACAAATATACACAACAAATACCAGGGATCAACGCTCCTCAAAAGAGGAGGAGGAGGAGGAGGAGAGATTGAGCAGTGTGCAGAAGGCCTGAGTCTTGTCAGCCTGGTAAATACCACAGGGAATGGCAATCCAGGCAGAGGCACAGCCCATGCAAAGGCCCTGACCCCCTTCTAGTCAACTGCCAGGCCCTGGCGGGGGGAGGGGGTGTGTGTGGCCACTCTGGAGCACTGTGAACAAGTTCCTGGTGTCTAAACAGGGTTGCCCACAGTGGCCCCTGCCTCCTGTGAGTACCCAGGGCTCAGGTCTCAATCAACCCTCCACCCTGTCCGGTCCCCACTTCCCCACCCCCCCAGCTTCCACATGGGAGCTTCTGCTGATCAGATTTTGAGGCCCGAAGCTTCAGGAAAACAGGTAGAGGAGCTGGTTCTCTCAATACTCCATTAAGAGCACTTTAATCCCAGAGCAGACGTCCAGGGACCTCCTGAAATGACTTGAATAAACGAACAAGTGCACACATACAGCCAGACCGAGGGAGGAGAGATGTTGCCAAGGACCGTGGAGACTGAATGCCACCATCCCAGAGCCTGAAACGCAAGCTGCCTGCCTGCCATGATCTCCAGACCAGTCCCGTGACTTCCCTGTGTGCCAGTGGGCCAAAAGGGCTTGGGACCACCGCCTTGACGCTGGCCAGGTCTACCCCTGCCAGGGCTTCCCCAAATGGCCTCCTGTCTCCCTGTGGCCCACTGGCTTCGGGAAGGGAGCTGACTTCCTGCCACGGATGGGACTGGGCCGTCCCGGGGAAGCACTGCTGTTTGTTCAACTAAATCAAGGATTTCCGTATGGGGCCCTTCCCAAGGCTCTGGCTGCTGCCCCAAAAGGGACCCTGCCCTGTCCCGCTAAAGGGAGATGCCACAGGGGCCCTTCCCACTGGACGGATGGAGGCAGCACCACGATCCCTCCGGGAAGGCAGGTCCCCCTGTGCGGGAGCCTGGTCACACTGGCAGGAATGGCTTCTCCAACAGCACCGCGGAGGAGCCCAGGCTAAACCGGGGCAGTGCGGAGGCTTCCTCAGCTCAGGCTAGTCTCTCAGACTCCTCAGCACCAAGTCACCTGGAGAACTTGCTAGACTGTGGGTGGCCAGCCCCCTCCCCATTCCACTCAGTTCCTGATTTGTGGCCTGAGAATCTGTACTTCGGCACACAGTCCTGCCGACTCTGGTGTGGGTGGTCCCAGGACCACACTTTGAGATCCTTCTCCTCATCCCAAGGACTCACAGAGGAAAAGGCAGATGAGCAGATCTCCCCAGCCCCTGGCGAGGCACACGCTGCACAGGCGCACAGGGCTCCCCCATCCAGCCGGGTCAAAGCCCTGCTCAGCATCCATCATCCTGGCATTTCAGGAGCACCACTACACGCCCAGAATAGCTCTAAGCACCCGGGACCCAGGAGACAGGATAGCCCCTCAGTGGGGAGTGGGGCAGGAAACAAATGTGACAAAAATGACTATCCATCTAGGCGAGGTGGCTCACACCTGCAATCCCAGCACTTTGGGAGGCGGAGGCAAGAGGATTGCCTGAAACCAAGGGTTGGAAACCAGCCTGGGCAACTTGGCAAGACCTCATCTCTACAATTTAAAAAAAAAGGCCATTGCTCTGCTAAGCTCTGGTCTGGCTATGTGGCTCTCTGAGCTATGGCCACCATTGGTTTCCTAGCTTTGGTCCCAATCTCCTCCCTCTGTCTCTCCCTCATTGACTTTCTAAATAAACTCTATTTTCCAATTTAATTTCTGTGCTTTTTTTTTTTTTTTTTGAAAAAGCAGAATTTATTGAGAGGGCAGAAAAGCTCCCACAGTGAGAGGGGACCACCCAAGAAGGTTGCCTTGTGCAATTCTTTGCATCTTTCCCATGGCACCGGACCATAGACACCCCTCATTGGGTCTGACCTAACATTTTAGAAGTCCTGCTAGAATTGTAACCTAACTTTTCCCCTCTTCCTTCTCTAATAAACTTTGTTTGAAACTTTAAAAAAAAATTAAGCCGGGCTCGGTGGCTCAGCCTGTAATCCCGCGCCTTTGGGAGGCTGAGGTGAGTGGATTGCCTGAGCTCGCGGGTTTGAGACCCGCCTGGACAGCAAGACCTCAACTCTACAATAAACCAAAAAATCAGCCGGGCGTGGTAGCACATGCCTGTAATTCCGGCTACTTGGAAGGCTGAGGCGGAAGGATCGCCGGAGCCCAGCAGGTCGCCGGAGCCCAGCGGCCACTGCACTCTAGTCTAGGCGACAAAGTGAGACTCCAACTCAAAAAAACAAAACAAAACAAAAAACCATAAACAGAGCATTACCATGTGATCCAGCAATTCTAATTTTCAGTATATACCCAAAAGAAATGAAAACAGAAACTCAAAAACTATTTACAGGCCAGGTGTGGTGGCTCACGCCTATAATCCCAGCACTTGGGCCGAGGTGGAAGGATCACTTGAGCCCAGGAGTTTGAGACAAGCCTTGGCAACACAGTAAGACCCCATCCCTCCAAAAAATAAAATACTTAGCCAGGCGTGATAGTGTGTGCCTGTAGTCCCACCTACTTAGGAGACTGAAGTGGAAGGATCGCTGGAGCCCAGGAAGTAGAGGCTAAAGTGAGCCATAATCATGCCACTGTTATGTATATTTTACCACACATACATACAGGTTTTATCTGAAAGGAAAGTGTAGAAAACTTTTTTAAAAGGAAGCAGTATGTGGGAAGACACAGGGAGCAGAGTGCATGTCCCCACCCCCCCACAGCAGAGGGCCCGTGGTCTGATACCTTTTTGGGAATAGTTAGTTGAAACAAAGCAGGTGCCAGCTCATGTAAGATCCCAAGCTAAGCTAAGGAATGTGGCCTGCCAGCTCCCGGCCCTGGAGAGCACCGGAGCTGCTGCAAGCAGGGAAGAGTGAGACCATATTTGGATGGTCAGGCGAGCCCTCTGGCCACAGCATAGGAGGTGGACTGTGGGAGGAGCTGACAGCCAAGGTTTTTGGGGTATCATCTAGGTGAAAGCTGTCACAGGCCACACTGACACTACAGCAGTAGGGTTAAAAGGAGCACTAGGAAGAAGAAAAGAGAATGAACAGAACAGAAAGACCAGCCCGGTGGCTCATGCCTCTAATCCCGGCATTTTGGAAAGCCAAAGCAGGTGAGACCAGGAGCTTGAGACCAACCTGGGCAACATAGCAAGACTCCATGCCTATAAAAAAAAGTTAAAAAACATTAGCCAGGCATGGTGGTACTGACTGCACCATTGCTCTCCAGCCTGAAAGACAGAGTGAGAACATGTCTCTTAAAAAAAAAAAATGAGAATGAACAGAACATAAATGACAGTAAGAAAGAAAAACAGAAGAGCTGTTTGGACCACAGGTTAGGTAGAGAAAAAGACTATGGAAGGGAAAGAGTTCTGCTGGGGCAGGAGGTATCAGCACAGCTCTGGAGGTGCTGGGGGGACCCTTGGGATATCTGGGGGAGACGCCCAATGAGGTTCAACATTTGAGAGGGGCTCGAGAGAGAGGTCGGGACTGACACCAGGTCTAGGGCTCACTGTCACCAGGCTACAGGTCAGACGACGATGGCCCCATATATGAGCCAAGGCTAGGCTCTGGGGACCACCACCCATTAAGAGACAGTGGAAGAAAGGCAACCAAGCTGAGACATCTGTTCAAATGGCGCTGTTCTTCCAAATACCCGGACAACAGAGGGTGTGGCCTGGGGTCACCTGGACACAGGTAGGTAGGGAGCAGTGGAGCTGAGGTCTGGAGACCGTCTCTATGGTTACATTCTCAGCCTCCAAATCCTGACACTTTGGAGAAGAAGTGACCTCAGAGGCTATCTTCAAAACCCCTCTTTCTGACCAGGTGAGTGGCTCACACCTGCAATCCCAGCACTTTGGGAGGCTGAGGCAGGAGGATCACTTGAGCCTAAGAGTTCCAGACACTTGAGCCTGGGCAACATAGCGAGAGCTCATCTCTACAAAAATTAATTAATTAAAATTAGCCGGGTGTGGTGGCATGCACCTGTAGTGCATAGAGTCTTGCTATGTTGCCCAGGCTAGTCTCAAGCTCCTTGTCTCACCTGCTTTGGCTTCCCAAAGTGCTGGGATTATAGGCATGAGCCACCAGGCTGGTCTTTCTGTGCTGTTCATTCTGTTTTCTCCCAACTACTTGGGAGGCTGAGGCATGAGGATCACCTGAGCCCAGGAGGTCCAGGCTGCAGTGATCCGTGATTGTGCCACTGCACTAGCCTGGGTGAAAGAGTGCAACCTTGGCCAAAAAAAAAAAGCCTCTTTCTGGAAATGAAGATGCTGAGACAGAAAAGTAAAGCAACTTATCCACAACACCCACATGGTCAGTGGCAGAACCAGAACAAAGACCTGGTATTCTGGTCTGAAATCACATATGTCACCCTCAGCTTGTTCCAAGAGATCCAGAGTCAGCTACACCCACAGGCAGAGCAGACACCAATGTACCAGCAGGGCCCAGTGGGCAGCCCCTCATCCCGGGGAGGGTCCCCTCACCTGAGATGACCTCCAGCAGCAGCATGAGCTTCAGGCCATCACGGAAGTCCTCCTCAATGTTCTCGATCTGCGTCCCTGCCTTCCGGAGGTGGGAGTTGCACCATGCTGTGAATGTCTGGGCAAAGAGAAGAGCAGGTGGTCAGGCTGACTCACAAGTCTCACGGTCTCGCCCCCAACAAGGGCCTATGTGGGTCTCAAGGACCTGCCCACTCATGCCGTCTTTCCAGCTGTTCTGTATTAGGTCCTGGAGGGCTGGTGTTATCCTCTTCACTGGATGAGCCGTTCAACAGAGCCAGGAAGGCTGGGCACTCACTCAGCAGGGCCCACGGACCCTCTCAGCACTGGCGTCCTGGAGTCTCATCCGCACCATCAACCAGGCGTAGAGCCAGCGGCACGGGTGGATGCCGGGGACAGAGGAAGCAGTATCTTCCCTTAATGCCCCCTCCCAACCTCTTTCCAAGACGCCACCCCTACCCCACAGCTAGAAGTGCCACAATTCCATTCTCAGCAATGTACCTCTTAGACTGTGAGGCCTAGTTCCAACCTCCAGTCATAAGGCAGAACAACCTAGAGATGACTTACTAAGCCCCATGGACACCTTGGGGCAAGTTAGGTTACCTGTCCCCCTTGGCAGCCAGCTACGAGAAAGGATGACCAAGTTTTGCTGGAGACCAAGTTCAGAGGCATAGTGTCAAGATAAGGAGAAAGATTGGTAAGTACCTCAGGTGTATACGTGTGTGTTTTGGGAGGGGATGGGGACACCTTAAGTTGTAAAAGCACCAGAAGCAACTGTAGAAAGGGGCCAGGTGTGGTGGCTCACACCTGTCATCCAGCACTTTGGGAGGCCAAGGTGGGAGAATTGTTTGAGTCCAGGAATTCAGGACCAGCCTGGGCAACATAGCAAGACCTCGTCTCTACAAAAAAAAAAAAAATCAAACAATTAGCCGAGCATGGGGTTGCATGCCTATAGTCCCAGTTACTTGAGAGAAACTGGGGCAGGAGGATCACCTGAGTCCTAGAAGCTGAGGCTGCAGTGAGACTGACTAAAAAAAAAAACACACAGAAAGGGCACGTGGAGGTTAACTACAAAGACCACCAACTTTGTAGTTACTTCTCTAATAAGCAGATCATGACAAGAGAGGCGACAACCAACCAAGCTGTCCTGTACCATCAGCACCGCCTGGTGGTTCAAACAGAAATTTTTGAAATTCAAGTGCACACTGGGGCTCACCCAACAACAGGGCTACTCAACTCTCCTTCCCTGCCCTGCCAAGTCCCACACACGGGCCAGGTATCATTCATGATGATAGTCATGCTAGAAATAGCCCTCTTCCTAGGAAAGGTCACCAGACTCCTGACCCCACTGCCCCTTCTCTCTGTCTTGGGGGCTCCAAAGTGAAGTGGCGATGGCAGGGGCAGGGGGAGTGGGAACAGCACACTAGTGATCACTCGGGGAAAGAAATGGCTGCTGAGATGAACGGGAAAAAGCCAAAGAGCCCATGAGCAAGAAGGGAGACAGAGAGGGAGGAAGGGACAGCATGATGGCACCTCAATTTGGGGCTTCATCTTTCAACTATGTCTTACTAGCAACTTGCCAACACAGGACACCTCTCTCTCTGCAGACTCACCTCCACTCCGGAGGCCAGCCCACACCCAGGGTAGGGGGAAGGGGCGTCCCAAGGTTTGGGAGGCTGACACCCAGACTGCGGATGGACAGGGCCTTTTCTGATTCCAAGCCCAAACTCTGTATCTTGCGTGACTAACTCACACTCCTCTTTCTTTTCTTTCCCCCCCTTTTTTTTTGATTCAGGGTCTCACTCTGTCTCCCAGGCTGGAGTGCAGTGACACAATCACAGCTCACCGCAGCCTCAACTTCCTGGACTCAGGTGATCCTTTCACTTCAGCCTCTCAAGTAGCTAGGACTACAGGCATGCGCCACCATCCCTGCTTAATTTTTTTATAGAGATGATGTCTTGCTATGATGCCCAGACTGGTATCAAACTCCTGGGTTCAAGCAATCCTCCAGTCTTGGTCTCCCAAAGTACTGAGATCACAGGCGCAAGCCACCACACCCAACCCCTTTCTCCAGGAGGCCTTCCTGACAACCACTGCTGTGTCTGGGCTGAGCACTGACAGCCCACAGCACTATGCATTCCCTCCATCATATGGCTGCTGCAAGACCACTGCCTGACCACTTGTCAGCTTGACATCCCAGACTGGGAGCCCCTGAAGGAAAGACTTCAATGATCACCTTTATATCCTGAGGCCTCTGGCCTGAGGGAAACTGTGTCAGCCCCAGCGGCTCAGAAGGGCAGTTTTGGGTCCAGTGTGGTCTGTAACACAGAGTCCCCATGGGAACTGCTGGGTCCGGGGGCTGTGAAGTATCACTGTTTCCTACGAAATCTCACTGTTTCTTGTGAAATCTCACTGTTCCTGTCTTGAGGGGGTGGGGTGAGAGGGAAGAGGAAGAGGTGGCTTTTGTAAGCAAGCACTGTCTGTGGAAAGCAGTCAGCCCCTTCCCGGGGAAGCTAGGCTTGGCCCAGGAGGCAAAAACATACCTGTGTTTGCCCAGATCTCCCAGAGTAGGACGAAAGCCCCCAGCCCCAAGCCCTCTAGGTTACCAGGGCCAAGGGCACCTCCCAGATAGGAACGTCTCCCTCACAGCTGCAGCCACCACAGAGTTCAGGCAAAATAGTAAATGGAGGAGGCAACTCAGTGATTAAGGACACACACTTGGGGCCAGGCGCAATGGCTCACATCTGTAATACCAGCACTTTGGGAGGCTGAGGCAGGAGGATCATTTGAGCCCAAGAGCTCGAGACCAGCCTGGGCAATATACCAGACCTCATCTGTACCAAATAAATAAATAAATAAATTAGCCAGGCATGGTGGTGTGCGCCTACAGTCCCAGTTGCTCAGGAGGCTGAGAAAGAAGGATCTCCTGAGCCCAGGAGGTCAAGGCTGTAGTGAGCCATGATCATGCCACTGTACCCCACCTAGGCAAGAGTTATAATAGCTTCTACCCATGGGGTTTGAGGTTTCAGTGAGAGTCCACTTACAACACTGAAAATGTTAGCCAGGCTCGGAGGCTCAGCCTGTAATCCCGCGCCTTTGGGAGGCTGAGGTGAGTGGATTGCCTGAGCCCACAGGTTCCAGACCCGCCTGGGCAACTTGGTGAGACCTCATCTCTACAATAAATCAAAAATTAGCCGGGCGTGGTAGCACGCGCCTGTAGTCCCAGCTACTTGGAAGGCTGAGATGGAAGGATCACCGGAGCCCAGCAAGTCGAGGCTGCGGTGGCTGGGAGCAGCCACTGCACTCCAGTCTGGGCAACAGAGTGAGACTCCAACTCAAAAAAAAAAAAGAAAATGTTAGCCAGGTGCGGTGGCTCACACTTATAATCCCAGTGCTTTGTGAGGCTGATGAGAGGATTGCCTGAGCCCACGGGTTCAAAACAAGCCTGGGCAACTTGGCGAGATCTCATCTCTACAAGAAATCAAAAACTGAGCCGGGCATAGTAGCACATGTCTATAGTTCCAACGACTTGGAAGGCTGAGGGGGAAGGATCTCCTGCGCCCAGCAGGTCAAGGCTACGGTGGTCGTCAATGTACCACTGCACGTCGCAGCCTAGGCAACAAAGTGAGACGCCAACTAAAAAAAAAAAATGCTACAACACCTGCAACAATTACCCATTATTACTATTATTACCACAGTACCTAGAGTTATCATTCTTACAAGTCCATACGGGCAGCACACTTCATCAAAGAATGTTAGAGCTGGGAGTGACATCAGGTACCACCTAAGCCATACCCTCATTTTACAGCTGAGGACACACAGGCTGGGTGCAGGAGCTCACGCCTGTAATCCTGGAGCTTTGGGAGGCTGAGGCAGGAGGATCACTCAAGGCCAGGAATTCCAGACCAGCCTAGGCAACCAAGTGAGGCCGCTACCTCTCTAGAAAGTAAACTATAAAATATTAGCTGGGAACGACAGCGTACGCCTATAGTCACAGCTACTCAGAGGCTGAGTTGGGAGGGTCACTTGAGGCTAGGGATTCAAGATCAGCATGGGCAACATATCAGGGCTCCATTCTTTGCCAAAAAGGAAAAATAAAAAACACTAGCCAGGTGTGGTGGCTACTCAGGAGACTGAGGTGGGAGGACTGCTTGAGTCCAGGAGCTCGAGGCTACAGGAGTTCACACCACTGCACTCCAGCCTAGGCAGCATGGAAAGACCCTGTCTCTAAAACGAATTCTTTTGGTGGGGGCAGGGGGCCTTCCGGTGTATCATGGGATGTTCAGCGGCAGCCCTGGACCTGACCCTAGATGCCAGCAACATCTCCCACCCCAAGCTATGGCAACCAAAATCCACCTTTAGCTGAGAGCCTGGTCTAGAGGAGACACACATATGCCACCGGCAATCATAACAGCCCACATTTACTGAGCACTTACTATGTGCTAGACGCACTTCTGAGGGCTTCACTTCCTTGAATCACTGCTCCTCCGCATGACACTATTCTCCCCATTTTACAGATGAGAAAGCTAAGGCACAAGTAAATGAAAGAAAAGCAGGACGAGTTAGTCCTTGCCTCACGTATTCTCGTACATGTTGCTCAAAATAGCAGTCCTCTCAGGTCACCCTTAGTTCTTCCACCCACAAGGCCACATGGCCACAGAGGATGCTCACAAGTGGACAGGTGTGCACAGAGCTACTGCACTGGGGCAGGAGGTGGCCGGGGATGGAAGCAGTCCCTCCTCACCTCCCATGGGAACATGCCTAGGTCATCATATCTCCCATGAAGAGGAGCCAAGAATCTGGACTTTCAGGTGGAATCCCCCCGTTGTTCAATGTGCCACAGTGTAAAAACTAAGATACCCCACAGTCCTCCCTCCACCCAAAATGCCAGCAGGTTAAATCTGAATGAAGACCTAGGGGTCTCTGGCTTCACAGGGGAAAAATACAAAAACTTTCTCAGTCTCCTGACAAAAATCGTTACCCACAGAATAACGTGCAGCATGTCAGAACAAGCTCACAGCAGAACCCATGCCACCACAACGATCACTCCTGATAGGCCATCAGGATGTCAGCCACCTGGGACCTGGAGTCACA